CAACTACCTAATTTGATATTCTATCTGTCTGGGCTAGAATTTTAAATAAATGTTTACTGTTGTCATTATTTATATACTTTCTAATTGCTCGAGCGGGCCCAGTAACATCTCCACTGGAGACTTTGTTGTTACTGTGTCTGGCATATCGAATACTCTCGGTAGCTTGCCGGGCTCTCCGAGAGGGGCGGAGGAATCGAACTCGGGTCGACCATGTTGGCCGCTTGTAAGGCGAACGCCCTACCCACTGTGCTACTTTCTAATTAACTGGTTGAAAGGAGACAATTGTAGGGGACTAAAAAGGAAAAGACCTTAATCCATTATCATTTTAGAATTCGAATGGGACTCAGAACTGTGATCAATTCACTTATACTAAAGTTGTTATAAATTAAGGGTTATAGTGCTTGGAATGTGGCCATTTCTGGTTCAGTCTCTGGCATAACATGGTCCCTGAAAATTACCCATTGTAGCTCTGGAGGCCCCAAAGCACCACTCTGGTGACACAAGTAATCCCTAGAACCACAGGACCTGACCATCACTGCATCCTTACTGAATTGGCATTGAACTGCTGGCTGGAAGAAGTCTGAGTCTTCCAAAGCATTATTATTATTATTTATTATTATTTTCTTTTGCTTTTTGGGTCACACCTGGCAATGCACAGGGGTTACTCCTGGCTCTGCACTCAGGAGTTACTCCTGGTGGTGCTAAAGGGACCATATGGGATGCTGGGAATCGAACCCGGGTTGGCTGCGTGCAAGGAAAACGCCCCACCCACTGTGCTATTTCTCCAGCCCCTCAAAGCATTATTTTTGAGGTTCCCCTGACCTAGATAAAAATTGTTGTAACTGAGACTCAGAAGTATACTTTGTTATTGGCTGAGTCTCTGTATACTTTTCTTCTTCTTTTCTTTATCGTTTTGATCACACCTAGCAGTGCTAAGAACTCACTCCTTTCTCTGAACCCAAAGATTATGCCTAGTGAGCTAGAGGGACTATATAGGATGCTGGGATCAAAATCAAGTCAGCTGCAGGCACGGTAAATGCCTTACCTGCTATACTATCTATCTCCCTGGCCAGTATGCATCATGAGCTCATTCATTTTTAGCTCTTTGTTTTGAAATTAATTTAAACAAACTCACAAAGTGCAAAAATTTTAAAAAGTACTTCCAAATATGCTTTACTCAGTCTATGTTTTTTGCTCTTTTTCTCTATATCTCTTCTTACTGATAGTTTTTTTAATTAACTGAAAAACTACAAATATGATGGTCCATTTGCCTTCAAAATTTAATGTGTTTCTAAAATCAAGGAAAATATCTTACATAATCATAAAAATAAAAATAAAATACTAAAATATTATTATTACTTGTTGTTGGGGGGTGGGAACCAAGCAGTGCTCAGGGATCACTCCTGGCTCTGTGCTAAGAGATCACTCATAACAGGGTTAAGAGGAAGTATTTTGGGTATTGGCGATTGAACCCAATTGGCCACAGTATGCAGAGGTAAGCCCCATTCCTGCTGTACTATCACCCCATGTCGGAGTCCTGGCCAGTCGACCCCAGCAAACTGGAGTACGAGCCCCCGGAAGTTGCGGACTTACTCCCTGAAGGGGAGGGAGTGGGAAGGGGAGAAGCCTCTGCCCTGGTCCTCCGCACACTGTGGGATTCCTGGATTCCTGCCACCACTGCTGAGAAAGAAATCCACAGAGCGGGGAGTCTGGTGATCAAGCAGTTCTCTGTTTATTGGCCCCTATCGAGGGGTTCTTATACACACACTGGTGGGAGGGGGGCAATCCCACATACATAGTTTTCTCGTTTCTCTAGTACACCACTCTTCCCTCTTAGGGGCCTGGCACCTACAGATGTCAATTAATAATTTACACATCCTGCTCTTAGGGCCGGGTTACCAATATGGGTATATGGGCACAGTCATGTCCCTCATTCTTAACCAGAGTGCCTACATGTGGGGAGTGCTGGAGAGGGCCCCCTGGGTTTTTGTAAACAGGGCAGGCTCTTGCTTTCAGGGGAAGGGGTCAAAGTCTCAGACTAGCTGCTGAGACCCCAACAACCCCAGTCCCTGGTTATAGTATTATTTAATCTATGATCTTTGCTTATTTACATATTGCCAGTGTTCCCCTGATGCCTTTTACAGTGAGAGTCATTCTTGATTGGGTCCTTAAGAGAAAAAAAAGGTAATGTGGGGAACTTGTCTTTAGTAGATTTTAAAGATTCACTAATGAAATGTTTCTAAACTCCTCAGTGTCATTATTCCATGCATTTTAAGTAGAGAGGTGAATTTCCTTTGAGTTCTTTTATTTTCTTTGCCTTCATCAATCCTTAGTGATCATCAAGATGTAAGTAGCGTTTCCTCATAGACGAGCGGAAGCCATTAGCACAAGTGACATGTTTCTGGGTTTTAAGTGATTCTTTACAGTGTGGTCCAACACTTAAATGAATGGCTGTTCATATTTAATCCTTAGAGTGAAAATGACGTCAGAATTTGGCACATTTTACTTCCTGATGAAAGCAGACAAATTCGTAAAAAAAAAAAATCAAGACTTAGATAAAATCTGCCCAATTTACTTAGCAAATGACAGACTGATAGTATGTCATGGAACACTTACAAATTAGTCTGAAACTGATGGAGATAAGAATGTGAACAGAAATAGACACCCTTTCATTCCTTTGGTTTATCTTGTCTGGCAATAACTGTGATGGAAAGAATCCAGCACAAAAAAATTTTATTCAGAGTGAAGGGATCATCACAACTACTTCTCATTCTAGCATGGCCTTGGGGCTCCATGTTTTGGGGGGGAGGGGCTAGATTACACTATAAACAGCTTTCTTTGATATGTCGAGTAAAATTCCATGGAGGTGAGTTCACAGTACTCCCTTGTAATATAGAATTCAAACACACAAGGAACAACATTTAGCTGGGATTCTTTTTTTTACAAGTAAAGTAAAGTAAAGGCCCTCCCGTTGATCATCAATTTGCTCGAGTGGGCCCAGTACGTCTCCATTGGAGACTTTGTTGTTACTGTGTCTGGCATATTGAATACGTCACGGGGAGCTTGCCAGACTCTGCCGTGCGGGCAAGATCCTCTCGGTAGCTTGTCGGGCTCTCCGAGAGGGGCGGAGGAATCGAACTCAGGTCGGCCATGTTGGCTGCGTGCAAGGCAAACACCCTACTGCTGTGCTTTTTTACAAATTCTATTTATTTTGAATTTTTCCATTTTGTCTTTTTATTGCCTTATCAAATGTAGATCTAAGATGATAACTTTCACAAAGGCTTCTTTTATTCAGGAGGAAGACTTGCTACCAATTCTTTTACTTTTCTGCTGTCACACCGTTTTCAGCATCTGCTAATTTCTTTCTTTTTTCTGACTAAACAAAACTTTGTTGAAAGTGTAATAGACATACAGGAAGTGCTCAAGACAAAATATATGGTTTATGAATTTTCTCAGTGTCAACAATCAAAAATGACTATATGGACAAATGAAGAGATTACAGACCACCAGGCTCTCCAGAATTCACTCTCATTTCTCTTTACAGATAACTGTTGGGATCGGGAGTTCCCTAGCCCTGGGAGGCACAGAGAGACCAGATAGACACAATTCCTGCAGGAGTAAAAACGGGGTTTATTTAGACCAGCATGTTGGGGCTCCGCAGCATACCCCAAAAATGGGCAGTGGCTGAGAGCCCCGAACTTCTTCAAAGGGGATCTTATATAGGCCTTCACTGGCCATTACAGCAAAGCCCACGCATTTCATAGCCAATAGATTTGTAACAACATATACTTTCTTAACCAATCCATTTAAAAGTACCTCACTCCTTAGCCTATAGATTCAAAGATCAGCATTTATGTACATCGATTGTCAGCACAAGCAAGGTTATAGCTGGAATCATTAAGCCTTAGGTAATCTCCCTTGACCATCCTCATTTTGAGTTGCCCAAGTCTGCAGGGTGCTTTAGTGAGACAATATGTTCCAGGAAAGGGCAATTTCCCCCAACCACCCACATCCTGAGTTATCCTTTACCCAAATCTGCAGGGTGCTTTACTGAGACAATACATTTCAGGAACAGTAAATACACCTGAATCCTGTCACACTTGGTTTAGAAAGAAGTTATGCCCTGTTCACTTTCCAAGTCCCCTCTCCCCCAGGTGCAAAGCAGCCAAGCAGTTTTACAGAAAGCAATGTTGCAAGTTAGCTGAAGTACACAAAAATTTGATGCCCTAATACGGATTCTTTCATAACCAGTATCTTAACATTTATGATGTCATTACTTTCCTTTAGGGGTGGTGAACACCCTGATTGTGCTCAAGGATTCTGGCTCAATGCCCAGAGATCTCTTCTGGCAGTACTAAGGAGACCATATTTGTTACTGTCGATAAAACTGGGCTTGGCATAATGCAATGCAATCATCTTAATACCTTTACTACATCTCTTGCTTATGTTCATTACTTTCTTAAATTTTTCTTTTTCCATTATTTTCTATAATTTTTAATTTTTTGCGTATCAGAAATGCATTTTTATTTGAAAATAACTTAAAATTTTAGACAAATGATTTTTAATATCACTGTCACTGTCACTGTCCTCCCGTTGTTCATCGATTTGCTCAAGCGGGCCCAGTAATTTCTCCATCGTGAGACTTGTTGTTACTGTGTTTGGCATATTAAATACATCACGGGTAGCTTGCCAGGCTTTGCCGTGCGGGCAAGATACTCTCCGTAGCTTGCTGGGCTCTCCAAGAAAGGCGGAAGAATTGAACCCGGCTTGGCCAGGCTGGCTGAGTGCAAGGCAAATGCCCTATCACTGTGCTATCGCTCCAGCCCAATTTTTAGTATATAAATTTGATTTTGTTTTTATACAGAATATAAAGCTTTTCCTCATTGATCTTTCATGCAAAGGGTAGTAAAGCCTGAAGGGAGGTACTTTCTGTACCCAAGTGTATATCTTACATCTATTGTAAGATACACCATTGGTGGGAACCATTGGTGTAGTGTTCCTACACATAACTTAGTCAAGTGACATCATGTAGTAGAAAGGGGATCAGAGAAATGATCTAGCTGTAAACAGATTGAAAAAGCAAATATGACACAACAACTGTGCAGAGAAGACCACATCAGTAACTTTAGTTAGGACACTGCAGATTAGACTGGAGTAACAGGTTTTTGAGGCTAGAGTGTGCACTACCAAACAGTAAGGAACAGTTATTTCTAGATAAAGGCTGAAATGACGGATTCTCACCAAAGCAAATTAATTTCTTGTCAACTGCCAAAACAAAACAGAGCAGCATATGAGTGTTAGTATACTGAAGGCATGTTATAACAGTTTCTGTGCGGCATGCTAAAAGTTAGTTACAACTTCTTCACTGATGTATATGAATCATTAATAGTCAAAGAAAGTTTTTTGCTCCTTCTTGCCAAATTTCAGACATGTCTTATTTTAGATGGAGTATTGCTTTTATCTATTATTTCATCTTGTAAAAACATGTGAAGACATCGTTCATTCTGTGCCAGAGGATGACCAGAGACCTTGTTTATAAACTGCTCCAGCCCTTGCTTCCTTTCTTCAATAAAATTGTCATCAAATATTTCATTACCTCTTCTAAAAGGAAATTGATGCAAAAATGCTTTCCCAGGGAGTAGGGGAACTACAACTTTACCCTCTCTTTCTAATTCACTTCTCAGCCATTCAAAGTCACTGTATTTCTTCTAACAGTAGATTCCTTCAGTGGAAAATAGGTAGATTTGTCTTGACCCTGATTTTATAGGCGGTGAAGCGGACCGGGCCGACCTCCAAGGTCTGCGGGTTGCTCACATTGGTCTCAAGGAAGTTACTGGGAGGTCCGTAGGCGTAGGCGTCATTCAGGTTCTGGGGCTTAGTGCTCAACCACCAGGTGTTGCCCAAGGTCTCTGCCATCTCGGTGTTTGCCGCCTCCGCCGCTGCGGGCTCCCTCCGCCCCCTCCACGGTCCACCGCCACAGCCGCCCGCCATGGGGTCATCAGGACTCACTCCTCTATCATTTTTTAAATTGAGATAAGAATGACTTACAAGACTGTAAATGTATACAAGCTTTAGGGGTGGTATAATGCACCTGATACCACAACTGTCAGTAACTCTCCAACCTAACCATAGAAACCTTCGCATCTATTTTCCATTGAGTAAACTCAGTTCTGTCATTGAGCGTAAGGGTATATTCATATTGAATATTTTCTGTTCTGTTATTGTTTCTTTATATAACAATAGGAGTACAATTAAATGATATTTGTTTTTCTCCTTCAGGTTTATTTTGCATGACAGGACAGCCCCTAGTTCCATCCCTGTTATGTGAAAAAGTAAGACTGTATCTTTTCTTAGAGCTGGGTATTATTTAATTACATATATATATATATATATATATATATATATATCTCACAACCTATTTATCCATTCACTTGTGATTGGGCATTTGGGATGATTCCAGATTTTGGCCAGTGTGAATAGTGTTACAGTGAATATAGGTCTGCATAAATCTTTTTGAATTAGTGTTTTTTACCTCTGAGATAGATTCCTGGGAGTGGAATTTTTGATCATATGATGTTAATATTTAAATTTTAATGGTGTTAGTCAATGATCCAGTTTATATTCATTTATATCCACGAACAATGAATGAAGTTTCTGATACCCAATAACATTTGTGTCTATGGTCTTTATTTTTAAAATTTAAGTTTATCATCCTAAAATCTACATTACTGCATATTTTGAACTCCATATAAATGGAATTATACAGAATGTAATTTTCAATTCATGGATTCTTTTGTTCAGTATCATATTTTTGAGATTCATCCAAGTCATTGTATATCAGAGCAGTTAGTTTATTTTATGTTGTCTTTGGTAAATATACTGTGTTGTCTTCCAATAAACAGGCATTGTGTTAATTCCAGATTTTAACTATGATGTATAATGACACTTATATAAGCATATGCACCTCTGTTGTATATGTATTTAAGAGGAAGAATTGTGGAAGTGTGTGTAGGGAGAATTATATTTAGATTCACTTAATTCACTCTTACTCAATACCACTGTCCTCATGTGTAATTATGTATGCTATCTCATTTTGAGTTAACTTTTTGCTCATTGTGTTAATTTTATTTTCTGTGAAAGTGTGTTGATTTTTGTCAAATGGTTTTATGAATCAAGATGATAATATACATTTTCTTTTCTTAAATTTTGTTTCGTTTTTGTTTTGGGACCACACCTGGCAGTGCTTAGGACTTGCTTCTGGCTCTGTGTTCAGTGATTACTCCCAGTGGGGCTCAGAGGATCATATATAATGCTGGGGCAAAAGCATGTTAGCTGTATACAAGGCAAGTTCCTTACTCACTGTACAACCTCTCTAGCCCCTAAATTTTCTTTTATCATATTAATGTTAAATAGCTAATTTATGAATTTACATATATTGAATCATAGTTTCACCCCAGTAACAAATCCCACTTGATTATGATATACAATCCTGTTAATGTGCTAGTGAATTTTGTTTGCTAATATTTTGTTTAGAAATACTATATCTATGTTCATCAGTGATATTAGATGGTCGTTTTCACTCACTGTACTGTCCTTATCTGGATTTCACATATGATCGATCAGTATTGGCTTCATAAAAAGAGTTAGACATGCCCTCTGTTCTTAAATATTTTTATGACATTTCAGAAAGGGCAGTATTAAGTACTATTATTGGGGATGGGGAAATTGAGCCACATCCTGTGGTCTCAGTGTTTATTCTTGGCTCTGTGCTCTAATGTGGAGTATCACTCCTGCTGATAGTCAGGAAATCATATGCTATCTTGGGACTTGAACCTGTATGAGCTGCATGAAAATCAAGCACCTTAATTCATGTACTCTAGCCAATTTTATTATTATTTTATATTTTTCTGTTGTGTTTTCCCCCCAAACTTTATTTTAGATTTCATAATTTATAATATTGTTAATGGTAGGGTTTTTGTGCATAAAATGTTCCAGCAACCATACTGTCCACCAATTTGCTTCCATCTACCATTGCTCCAATGTCCTCACTCTTTTTTTTTATTTCTTTTCACTTTCCCATCATGGTAAGCTTCCAGCTGATGACCAACTTTCAGTTTCTGCTATGTTTGAGCATTTGTTATTTCCATACTGTATTTCTTTCTTTATATCCTATATACGCAGGAGATCATTCTATATATGTTATTCTCCTTCTAACTTCACTTAGCATGGTCTCCTATATGTTAATCCACATAGCAGCATATTGAACTATTTCATCTTCTTTTATAGCTGAGCAATATTTCATTGTGGGTAAATACTGTAGTTTCTTCATTCCATTTTCTGTTCTTGAATCTCTTGGGTTGTTTCTAGATTTTGGCTGTTGTGAATAATGATGCAAAGAACACAGGAGCAAACAGGTATTTTCTGAATAGAAGTTTCGGGAATCTTAGGGTAGATACTAGGAAGTAGGATTGCTGTCCATTAATTATTTTTGTTTTAATGTTTCCTAGCATTTACATTTGATGCCATATTCTCCTGAGCTTATTTTTCTTTTTGCTTTTTGGGTCACACCTGGCGATGCACAGAGATTACTCCTGGCTCATGCACTCAGGAATTACTCCTGGTGGTGCTCAGGGGACCATATGGGATGCTGGGAATAGAACCTGGGTTGGCCGCGTGCAAGGCAAATGCCCTACCTGCTGTGCTATTGCTCCAGCCCCCTCCTGGGATTTTCGTTATTGAGAAGTCTTTGAATTCTTTTCTATCTCTTTTGTGATTATTGATATTTCCATGATTTTTATTTCTTCATGATTAGTTCTTGGTATGTATGCTTATATGAACTGCTTTCTTCTAGGATATTTGACATGCTGTCATAATTTTTTTCAGTCATCTTACGATTCTTCATATTCATGCTATCTCTTGCAAAAATCTTTAAGTTCCGATTCAGGTTTTCTCTCTTAGTCTAGCTAAATTTATGTCAGTTTTTTCTTTTTATTTATATTTTGTTTGATTTTGGGTCACAACCAATGATGCTCAGAGTTATCCTTGGGGGACTATATGGGATGCCAGGGATTCAATCCGGGTCAGCCATATGCAAGACAAGTGCCCTACCCATTGTGCTATCACTTCAGCTCAGTTATTTTCTTTTTAAAAGTCAAGTTTAATATCACTGATATTTTTGATTGTTTTCCTGATTGTATTTAATAAATTTTACTTTGATCTGTGCTATTTCTTTGCTCATATTTTGTTTATGATTTGATCTTTATTTATATTTACTCATTTTATAAGTAGATTGATATTTTTCTTTTGACTTAGTGCATGTATGTATCTCAATAAACTTCCCTTTGAACAGTTTCCATAACTTTTGTTACTTTTTTAATGACTTTCAAGTTTCTGTTTTTATTTCTTCTCTTATCCACTAGTTGGCCAGGTTTGTTATTTAGTTTTCCTACATTTGTGAATTTTTCTTCTTTTACTCATTCTGTTTTACACCATTGTAATCAGAAAATATTTGATTTTTATTTTAGAATTGTTAAATTGCTTATAACTTAATTTGTGTCCTAATATATCTTCTTTCTTATAGAATGGTTCATGGATGCATTAGAAGAATATGTATTCTACTGATGTTTTATGGAACATTCTATAGATGTCTATCACCATTTAGTTTAAAGAATAGCTCTAATACAATATTTCTATATTGATTTTCTGTCTGGATGATCTATCCATTGTTGAAAATAGGGTTTTGAAGTCCCATACCATTATTGCATTTTTAGTTCTTTCTTTAAAACTGTTAGAGTTTACACAATATATTTAGTATTCTGAATTTAGGTGCATGTATATTTTGCATTATATTTTCTTCATTAATTGACTCTACTATCGTGACATTTTTCTTTTGTTATAGTCCATTACTTAAAATTTATTTTTGTTTCATGTAAACACATGTTGTGTTGTTTCCATTTGCTCAATATCATCATTTTGCATTTGACTTGGACATTTGTATATCTTTAAATTAAAGTGCTATTTTTTTAGGCTGAGCATAAAGAATATTATGAATATATGAATATATATGAATGATAGAAATATTGACAATATTGACTTGTCAGACCCTTGACCAACAAATAACCCACCCCAAACCAACAAAACTAGAATATCTTTTTCAATATTATCATCAGAATAATTAAAAATGTCCAACTTCAAAGGTAACTGTTTGCTTCTGTGTTTGTTCATGTGTATAATCAAGCCTTTGAAGATGTGGTAGAATATGCTTTTACTCTTTCTGTTTTGCTTCCTTATGAATTTCCCAGACAAGAATAAAGTCCAAGATGCTAAGTCCTCAATAACAACAAATGAGTCTGGAGAACAGATCTCTGCCTGTCATCAAAATACCTGCCTTTCATGATAAAAGAAAACCTTTAGGACTGGCCTCTTTGTTACAGGCATTATAACATGTTATTTTTTTGTAGGCAGCACATGGTAGGACCTTATTTGCCCATTCAGTCACTGTATGTCTTTTTAGCCATATCCAATGGTTCTTCAGAGATTACTCATTTCTCTGCTCGGGGGTTACTCTTGCTGGTGCTTGAGGAACCATATGTAGTGTTGAAGATGGAACTTGGGTCAGCTGTATGTAAGGCAAGTACCTTAACCCCTTGTATTTTCTCTCCAGCCCTTAATTATATACATTTAAAGTACAAGCTAATGTCATTTTAAAATTATTGGATTTGTAGTTCATGAGTCCTCATTTCTGTTTTGCTCTTCTTCTGTAATTGATACTTTTCCATGATATTACCTTTGATCCATTTATTTTTATCTATCTTGTATTTAGAGTAACTATTTGCTTTGTGGTTACCATGAAGATTATATCAAAATTATTACACACACATAGCAGGTTTTAAGTTAATAACAACTTCAGTTGCATA